TTGTTTTAAAGGAAGGGTCAAACCTCATTTGAATGAAAGGGTTGCAAACCTTTATGGTGTCTCTTTATTATTCTCTCTCACAAAGTGCAGTGCAGGAATTTTAAAGTATAGAAATACAAAGAACAAGAAATGTAAAACTGGAAAGAAAATAAAGTAGATAAAACTGGTTTTCTGGATCTGGTCTGGGGGTTTTTTCTGGGGCCTTCTCTGCTATTTATACTTCTCAAGGAGAACCATCGAACTGCACTTCTAACCGTCGAACTGCTCCTCCATGATCGCTGATCATGTTGCCTTGTAATTAGCTCCACTATGCCAATACTTGCAGTTAGGCTTCCCTTCCGATTTTGAATTTGAATTTGAATATAAGTAACCGTTGAAACCACATCACTTTGTATCTCTTTGTTGATCTAGTATTACGTAGGTCTCATGAAAACCAATTAAATTGTAATTGGCTTATACAAAATATGTAGTCAACAGTAGAATAATTATTACATTTTAAAAAAATTAATTTTTCAAAATTATCCTTTGATAATATATTTTTTAAGAAATATCAGTTATCATAATTATAGTTTTTGTATTGTTAATAAATTTAAAAGAAAGACAAAATAAAAAATTCATATTATTTTAAATCTTGATTTTTTTTTAAAAAAAATTTACTATTTTAATATAATCAAAAATAGAATAAACGAATAGTATTTTGAAACGGAAAAAATATGATATTTGTTGGGCGGTTCCCTCCCTATTAGGTCCCACATCAAAGACTCTTAAATGAGTCAAATATTTATTTATTTACTTTGTGAAGCTTTCCGTGGAACTACTACAATGATCGTAAAATGTCAAAATAATGGTAAAAGGTTACGGTTTTAATCCTGACCTTAAGTTTTTAGTCTCATCTTTTTAATAAAAAAATGTAATGTATGTGAGCGTGGTTGTCTGGCTAACTTTTTCATCACAATTTTTAGTCGTAATAAAAATGTAAATCCCTTTTCTTCGAAAAAAAAGAAAAGAAAAGAAAAAAGCATACACACAAAAGAATCTATGTATCCATATATTTCACGTAGTGATTCATAACTATTGTTATTGAAAAATTATTTATTCTCTCCCTAACTATTCTGACACTTGTCATTGCTCCATATGTCTTTAATTACATCAATATATCCAATTGAAAGAAGTGAATCACTTATACTGTGTTTGGTTAAGAGATTTGAAAAGAGAAATGAAAAAGATAGATGAAATGTGAATAAAATATACTTACATTTCACCTAATTCACATACTTTTTCTTTTTTATTTTTCAAATTCTTTTCTAAATCCTTTAACCAAATACAGCGTTAATATATAGCAAAGTCACAATTACCAAAACTCAAGAGAGATGTATCTATTGGCCATACACAAAAATGGTCAAAAGAAAGCTGCACATGGTGAGGTAGGGGAAAATTACTAGAAGCATGGAGCAAGGGGGTTTATGTCTTAACATGGTAGTGCACCAATTAATGTATAGCAATTTAAATTAAGAATAAAGCATATCTCTAAACTACAATAATTAGTCAGAATCAGTGCTTGCTTTGCTGCGTCATTTTTCTACAAGGAAACAAGTGGAGCAGCAAAAATGGAATACATACAACCAGCAGGGTAACAATGCTAATTTGTAGATTAAATTTGATTTATTGACGGACCTAATTCTAATACTGAGTTTTTTTCCCTCTATTTTTAGCAAAATTTAAGATTCACAAACACAACCAAAATTATAGTCATATGATCATTATCCATATGGTCCAAAAACTAAACATGTGATACCTGTATTCATAATGACCTCTCTGTTGCCATTTTGCTAATTGTAGCAATCTAGTTTAGGTCCAACATAATTGCAAAGAACACCAATGCCAACTGCAAGCGGCCACTGGTGGAGCTAGTGTATAGTGAGCTGTCACTTGACATGACACCACTCAATTTTGAAATTTTTTAAAAATAAATATAAAATTTATTTAAAATATTTTAGATTTTACAAATTAAACCCAGAGAAAAAAACGAAAATTATTATTCCTTTTTAACTTTATTATAAATATACTCTAAAGTTTTGTTTTTAGTGTTTAAAATTACACATATATGATTCGTAATTTGCATTAGAATACAAAGTTTGGAGAAAATTTATAAATAATTGTAGTGAAAATAACAACTATAATTGTCATGATCATCAATTCTACCAATTACAACTACAATTGTGAAAAGATCTTTTGCTTGATGCAAAGTGATAATTTTTTAATTTATTCAAAGTGATGATTGAATCAAATGATTATTTCGCCATATATACTGGGGAAAAAAAATATTTGATAGCATAAGTAATAACATTATTATATAGCAATTTTAAAAAATGAAAACTTGTGAACAATTATGTTAATGTAAATCTTTGCTTGATTTTGTTGAAGTATTAATTTCTCAACTTTTGTTTTATGTGTAATTTGTTAAATTTAAATTATTTTGTCGATATGATTGAAAATATAATATTTGATTTTGATATAGGTTGTGTAGAAGATATATTGACATAATGATACTGATGATAGTTGTTAATGACCTCACTGACCTGAAATCCTAGCTACGCCACTGCAAGCGGCGTATCCAACAAGAAGAAGAAAAAGCAAAAATATATTATAGAATTTTACTTCTCAGCCCAAAGTCAAGTGCAAGCAACGTATCTGAGAAACTTTCAAGTCCCGCCCCGTCATGTATACACTCAAAATGTGAATTGTGAACTAAGACATGAAAGTACTGAACAAAAAATTCTAAAACATCAATAACAATTAAATCATGAAATAAGTATCAACAAAAATAAATTTTCATTTTAGTTATGTCTCTGACATGGACCTGGCCAAACAGCTTATGCCCTTAAGAGCCCCCTTATATACGAAGGAAGGATATGCAATTATGAGCCAAATTTGGTCCAATGTGTTGTCATGTCAATTCCAACTTGTTCTTGTTCTTCATTGGGAACAAGAATTTTGAGTAATCAAATGAATTGATTATACAAAAAAGCTCATGCCAATATAGCCAAACCAAAAAAGAAGAAAATATTTGGTGACCACAAATTCTGTGACTCAAATGACCCGAAAATGTCAAAACGACGTCGTTTTGACATTTTCAGAATTGTTTTATAATATATTCAGACAAAAAGCTAACATAGATGTTATGGGTAGAATTTTTTTTTGTAATTTCATTCATATCTTAGATCTAAGAATTTATCCATCTTCCATAAAAGAGCCGTATTTGCCAGAGAATTAGGAGTTCCTATCGTAATGCATGACTATTTAACAGGGGGATTCACTGCAAATACTAGCTTGGCTCATTATTGCCGACCCTAATTGCTTTTTTTTTTTTTATTATTGACTTTAATCAGAACGAAATTCACTTTTTTGATCCATGTACACCTACCAATTCAACATAGATTCAAACTATTTTATTGAATCGTGGATTCTACATGTCCTAAAACGACGTCGTTTTGGCATTTTCGGGCCATTTGAGCTACAGAATTTGTAGCCACCAATCATTGCCCAAAAAAGAATATGAATTGTCCACTACAAATCACTAACAAGAAAAGTAGTAAATCTCTGAAATTATGGATTCTAAGTTGCCGGATATGAATTCACCACCAATCACTAACAAGGAAAGTTGAAGCAATAAAATGAATGGATTAAACAAAAAAGCTCATGACAATATAACCATTGACATAGCTTCTTCAAATCAAATCTAATTGTCATGCTCTGCTCCAATAGCTCAAGTCCACAGCTTCCACCTTCAAGAAAACCCAACACCTCTGTATCTACTCTCTCTTAAAGAACATTGAATGGTTAAAAACAATTGCAATAAAATTCAGCAAACAGATAAAGAAGCAGGTAAAACTAGTTCCAACACACAACTCCGTTAATCACACCTTAACAACTCCGGCAAAAGCAACCACCACTCACTTTCATCATCACTCTGGCCCTAGCCCATAAGGGTGGAGCAAGGCCTGGATTGGTTCGGTTTGGGGTAAAATCAGAACCTATATTGTCTATGGTTCCATAAGAATTAGAGCCAAACCAATCCGTTTAAATCATAAAACCAATCCGAACCAAACCATTTAAATACAATTTGGATCGGTTTGAAACTATGGTTTTACATAATCTCAACATGTACATAGAAGATTTGTTAAAATTATAACTACTCTAAATTACAGACATTCCTACTAGAAGATTGGAATAGAATGGTGATGCATTGAGCAAATACACATGAAATTGGCCAAAGTACAGGAAAATGAGCAAATATTTTCACTCCACCTTACCAATCAAAAACTAAAGAAACAAGACTTAACAGAGATATTGAAATCATGAAACTTATATCCCAAAATAATTATTTTAAGTCAAAAAAAATATAGAATTCATGACAAACGGTCTGAATCGGTTTTAATCCGCAACCATGAATTGAAAACCGGAACCAATCCGTGAACTACGGTACCTCAATTTTCCAATCCAGAACCGAACCACAAATTCAAAAAATAAAACCAAACCTACCAGATTAAACTGGACAGGTTACTTTTGTAGATTATACGGATTCCTTACTCAGCCCTACTAGCCCAACCTTCCACCACAGCCCCACCACTCCCACTCTCACAAACCCATTACACAACCATTCACTACTACAAAATTGGTTAAAGGTACCTTAAACTTCTAATCTCAGTTTTTTCTAACACAAAAACTGTGATGGATGAGGATGTGACTGTTTGTACATTTTTCCCATCACAATTTTTAGCCATGATAAAAGGCTTTAAAATTGAGATCAAATGTTAATAAGATCTCGGTTTTGTAAAAAACTGTGACCATGTTTTTCTCAACATACAATCTCACTTATTTGAAAAAACTAAGATATTTTTCTCAACACATTTTCTCACTCTCCAATTCAGCCATTTGATATTCTACTGAAACCATTTTTGTGGGCAAGAAATTTATTACCAAATTAAAGATAGGTACAATGAACTCAAGGCACGACGGACCTATAATTTTATTACTAAACTAAGATGAATTTATCACAACCCAAGGTACAATTTGAAGCATAAGGCAAAATGTAGATACAAATATAGTAAAGTATTCCAAAGAAAACCTAAAATAGTAGGAGAAAAAGGAAGATGCCATCATAACATTAAATCAACAGGTAACCTAGAAAAACAGAATAGTACTTCAAAGCCTAATAAATTTTCTCGGCACACTTGCATCTTGAATGATGCCGAAAACATCCCTTATGGCCAATGGTATTATTATCACTGGAGAATTTTGATCTCCCTGTGAATATTAATAAAATAAATAAGTCAAATAATGTACTAAAAAAACTGCATATCAAATTCATGAGATTTATACTGCCGAATAAGAAATCATTATGAATCAATACTTAGGAAAATAACATTACTGACTAAAACCATAGGTACATATGATGTCAATTTTTTAAGTGATAAATAACTTGTGTGCATTCCAAACAGGTAACTAGTTGGAAATTTTATAATACTAGACTTTGGATATCAATCAAACAATAGGTACAAATAAAGTCCTAGTTGAGATTCAAGAAATAAAACTGAGCCCAAAACTACTTTAGGTCATCATAAAAAGATCAAATATAGAAAGCTTGAAGAATGTCAATCATAGGTCATCATTCTCTAGCACCATTAAAGTCCATACTCTATTCTTTTTTGTCTGTCGAATTTGGCATAGTTAACACCTCTATAGATTCTCAATCAAATAAAAAGCCCAAGAACAATCCATGGACAAGAAAATAGTGAAGAAATAAAAAATAAAAACTGCTTGTCTTTTGAGGTTCAGGGTGAAACTAAATTACCCTCAAAAGTAGCAACAATAAACCTTTAATTTAGACAGACAATGCACAAATCCAAATTAAAATAAATTTTGCTTTCATCAAAGTATTGCTTCAAATTCCAGCAACAAACCATAAAAAGTGTAGGACTCGTTGAACATGGTATAGACCTAGAAGTTCAATATTAATCAACAAAGAAAACTCTAAGAACACATAATTGAAACAAAGAAACAATCACAAATGTGAGGCGAAGGGGTGCGATCAATTAATTTTTCCCACTGTAACAACAGCAAAATCAATTAACACAAATATTCCCTTGCTCTGTAGTTCAATTTAAAAGCAGTCAAAGAATGCAATTTAAATATCGCAGCTTCCATTAAACAAACGAAGCAATCAAAAGACAATTACGTACCCACTAATTTTGAGTGTTAGAACAAGCATTCAAATGACTGTCAGAACAAGCATTCACATGTATTAATTTGCTAAAGTGTCAAACATTTAATCAATAAAAGCACATAAATAATAATGAAGAAAAGTTTAAATTGATCAAGAAGAAAAGTTTGTTTACCTGTCGACACAACGCTTGCCCATTTATAAATTCAGCTTCATATAAAACAATGACATCATGATTAGCTTAAGCAATCAAGAGCATAGTGATTACAATAAAATATTTTGTAGACATTCTTCTTACCAACAATAAGATACAGATGAGAGATAACGATTTTGCAAGTACAGAACTAAATGGAGTTCCATAAACTCCATGTAAAAAGATGTGACCATCTTAGCTTAAATCAACCAAAACCAGTGTAGCTCGATATGAAGTTATTGGTTAGTCCTGGGGCACATCTTTCAACTATAATTGTCCATGATTTTGAAATGAATTGAAACTAAAAGTGGTTGATATTTTAAACTACTAGTTATCTGGTCAAATTAATGATAAATTAAGGGTTTGAAAGAGCTAATTTATATGACCTAGAATTTCAGAGTCTTGAATAGAGATTAAAGATTGTATTCCAGTTCATGAAGTCAAGCTTGATCTTAGCTCCAAAACTATGACTAACCAAGGAATTAATCTAGAGTACGTAATTTAATTTTAAACATGTCCTAATCTGAGAGATCGATGAGCTATGCTTCATTCCAATATAGGATTAAGTTTAGGGCTTTTATTTGTTAATATATCCATATATAGAGAATAATATTTCGCCCTTTTCCATTGTCTAAACAATCTGGGAAACTTGGTTATTTAGTACTATCATTTATATTGAATGTTTCACTTGGTATGAAACATATAGTAGAAAATTATGTTCTCCTTCCCTCCATTTAGTTCATACATGTTAGTGGGGTGATAATTTTGAAGGAATTTTCCACTTACAATAGGTTCTGAAGAGTTAGTAGTTCGGTATCTTTATCCCCTCATTTTTACAGAAAGGCAGATACATCATTTGTGTATATTACACATTTAATTTTGACAAGGACAATTCAAAACTAAGAGATGCAGTACACTTCATTCTAATTATTGTCTAACAATATAGGCAACTTGGTAAGTTTAGTGACTGTTTCGCTCGGTATTTGTCTAATAAGGTCTTTCTATAAAACATTCAGCACATAGTAAGCAATACTCAAACTTCTATGAGTTAAATATTGCATTTAAACGTATTCGATGATGACACTTCATAGATTAAACTTTTTTTCTTAAGTGGGATTACATAGTATCAAATCATCTTAATGTATACACAAAATACATAAAAAAATAAATAAATAAAAAAAGAAGCATGTATCAGCATACCATCTAATCATACAGAAAATTATCTTATGATGAGAAAAGAAAGGCATCTATCTTTACATGAAAAAATTATTCTTACCTTTATTGATATATTTTCATAACTAGCCTTGGTAATCAGAGAAAATGCAAGTATACAGACATCGGCCCCTCGATAGCTCAGGGGTCTTAATCTATTGTAATCCTCCTGACCTGTACCATGAAGCAAACAAGTCAAATACAGCACTCATGAAGAGTTTATTGAAGAAGAAGATATCACTGGCTAATATGAACTTACCTGCAGTATCCCAAAGCCCTAAATTAATAGTGCTCCCATCCACAACCACGCTTGCACTAAATTGTCAAAAACAATAGGCACATAATCCTGTTCCAAGTTCAGTCAATTCCAACTTTGAATAAGAAAATTTCCATCATAAAAAGATTAAAAATTATCTACACCTTCACAATTTTAAGCTTCCAAAATCAAGTGAAAGAATTCCTCAATATATGAAAGATAACTAAATCGGGAAAGCCTTTCAAGGTCTATGACATTTCCATAGTCAAAGGCAGAAGATTGAGAGCAGAAACTTTGAAAGCAAATTTCTATTTCACCCATAACTTCAACTAAACAAAGTACATGGAATCCTAATTTTCCGTGTGATTCTTGAAAACTTTCCTTTCCTTCCCCTTTTTACCAAACAAACAGCAATGAAAAAAGACAATTTCTTCCAAGTTCAGTCAATTTAGGCTTCGAATAGAAAATTTTCCATCATAAAAAAATTAAAAATTATCTAAACCTTCACAATTTCAAGCTTCCAAAATCAAGTGAAGAAATTCCTAAATATACGAAACATAAATAAATCTGCATTTCAATGTCCATAACATTTCCATAGTCAAAAGCCAGAAGATGGAGAGCAGAACTTTAAAAGCAATTTTCTATTCCACCCATAAACTTCAACTGATCAAATTGAGTTCAAAAAAGTCCCACTTGGAATGGCATCAAGGGTGGGTAGGCAAGCAAAGCATCCAAGCCTGGATTTTATTTCTTAATTTTCTATTGTGAAACTATATTTTCCTTTTGTGAACAAAAATAATTAACATGCAATGCAAGAAACCACAATTAAAGAAATGTCATATATTTTAATCAGTCACACAATGGCCCATTTGGTAGAGCCGTGGGAAAGTGATTATAACTTATAGCCTAACAGCTTATACCTTATAACTGTGAACATAAGCTGATTTTTGACTTATAAATTAAGCTTCTCCTCCCCCACTCAAAGAATAAGTTGATTTTTGACTTACAAAAAGCTAGAAGTTGTATTGTTAAGCTGAACCAAACACATCAAAATAGCTTAAATTAAGCTAAAAGCTGAAATAAGCTGGAAATAAGCCCTTCCAAACAGGGCCAATCCAATTCTTCCAACTTAAAAGAGCTCTGATTGATGTCTGTTGAAGAATAAAAGCACCATGTATATACTAAACAGTATAGAAATAATCACTATCCAATTATCTGACATGAGATCCACTAAGAATTCTGAAAAAAATGTCAGCTTACACACTTGTTGCAAGCAAGATTTTGCTGTTGCTTACTACATTTTAAATGATACTAGTTACAATTTTAGAAAATAAAATATGTAAAAGAAAACTAAAAGAAAAAATAAATTATTGATATAGATATCTGTGGAGAAGTGGTTTGGAAATACTCTTCTGATCTCGGGGCACGCTCGTGATCCTCTGCTAGTCACCTGAAAAAGAATAAACACTCCGGTCGGGGGTGCCGGAATTAGCACTCTGACGGGCAAGTCAGTCTCTACACTCAGGATTACTTGTATTATAAGTTAAGCATAATAGTTCTCACATACCTTTCTTAGTCTGTTGTTCCTTATTTATACTTGTTTCCTGGGCCTCGGGGCCAGGCCCACTTTTCACTCATTATCCTCTTATTTACTCGGCTCCATAGTTCGATAGATACACGGCCTATCTATTGCATTCGGCCTCCTGATCGTGCAGGATAGAGCCGAGTAATATCTGTCTTCTAGAGTGTACATTTCTGATTCTGCCATTTATCCGACTCCCACAATTGTCCCCCAAACTCTCCATTGACGGTAGTTAATTGGTGTGTTTGGTTTCGAATGTGAAAAGTCAAGAGACATAAGCTAGGCGGCTTCACTTATCCCAATGTGAATGTTAGAACGCACACGCCTTTCGGTCATCATTATACTTTCCCGCCTCATTCGTGCATCTCTCGCATTTATTACGATTTGAAACTCCAGCCCCTTCGAATGCATGCTTTTTCGAATATTTGAGCCTCCTGGATTGCCAGTCGATATTCCTTCTCTGACTCGCGTTTTCTGCAACTCCTCTCCGTCTCTCCTTGTCTCTGCCTCTCGTAAGTTTTCTTCTCTTCTCTTTGTAATCCTATTTTCCGTGTTTATTTTAGATTTGGCATACACTTGAGTCCTCGCTAGAATGGCTAAGCACTTGAAAGACCTCCTTTCCGAGAGTCGCATTTCGGGGTTCCGACGACATTTTTCTATCCTTGATGATGTCCACCTATCTCTAGTGACGGACAATACTCTTGATATGGAGAAGGAGGATGAAAATACAATCGTCTTTCCTCTCCTATCCATTGCGGAGGGCAGAGTTCGTTCCCTACACCTATTCTTTAGGGCTGTCCTCCGCCATTGGGGTCTGATTCCTTCCCAACCCAATGTGAATTTTTTTCGAATCATCATGGGAATCGTAAAGTTGAACCGGCGCCTTAGGATCAACCTTGGCATTCCGGCCATTCGTCACTGCTATGCTTTAGCCAAATCCTCCGGTCGGCACGAGCGCTACTTTCTCAGGGCCAAGGACACTGACCATCACTCGGTAACCATGCTTGCCAGCTCTGGCAAACGAGTTGATGATGTGATGGTCAATGTTCGAGGCAATTGGGAATTCGGCGAAGGCGAAGATCGCCTGGACCCTATACCCAGACGAAGGGGTGAGCCAGGTTGCCATGTAACTCCTCGTGTTTATTGATATTTCTTTTACTCGAATTTTTCTCCCAGTCTAAGCCTTTGTTTATGCAGGCAATAAGTTGAAGAAAATTTTGACTTCGGCCGACGAGGCAGTCCTTGCGGAAATTGAGACTGCACTCAAGCATTTTGGCCGTCCAAACATACAGAAGCAAGGGAGAGCCGCCCATATACTCCTGCGGTACGAGCCTACTTATACTACGTTCTCGGCCGCGGATGACAGTCCGATCCCAACCGGCGAACAGCATCTTACAGCTCTTGTCTTCCCCAGCTTCAAGACCCTTAGGCAAATTGGTTTCGAAGCATCTGATTCGGAGCGAGACATAGAGCCGGTGGTTGAGGTAGTTGCCGAACAAACGAGAGAGTTTGTTGCGAAGGCCGAAGAAGGCGACGAGGCTCTAAAGTCAGCATTTGAAGCAGCCGGTCTTAACCAGCCTAACTCACCGTCCACTTCGAGTCGGGGGGGGAGTTTTCCTTTGGAGATATTTTTACTGGTTTAGAAGATCTGCCCGGCTCCTATTCCGAGGGTATGGCGAAGGAATCTCTTTCTCAGCTGGCACGAAAAAAGAATGCTGAGCGTTTGGCCGCCCATCAGAAGGCCAAGGCCATTACTTCCAAAACTGCCCACCCTGAATCATCCGAGCCGGTGTCGTTGTTGAAACGGCTCAAATCGTTTCTGTTGAGACGGAACGGTCAGTTGAATGTTTGACTCCAGAGGCTGATAAGGGCAGGGAAAAGCGACCCGCCGATTTTGAGGCCGTCTTTGAAGAAATCCCACTCGAAAAACGGCTGCGTTTAGAGGAGTCAGACGTGGTTGTTCCTTTTGTGGTTCAGCCGAAGATAAAAAACGTGCCGATCTCCTTTGATGCGTCAGCTGTGAAAGACCCAGCCGTGGCATTGAGCCTGGCTTTGTCAATTTCGTTGCCAGCTGACAAGGCAGCTTTCCGCTTGAAGCCGGACGTGTTAGCAATTGCATTGACCGCTCAAACAGCTCTTCTGGTATATATCTTGATCTTATCTTTTGCATTTCTGCGTATATTTGTTTTGGTTTTAACGTTCTGTTTTACAGACAGTCGGCAGGATAGCCGAGATAGGGCAACATCAGCACGAAGCCGTCGAAGAAATAGGCCGTCTAAGATCGGAGGTGGAGGGCAAAAGGAGTAGGGCCAACTTTAAGGCGGCAAGGGCGACGATAGAGAGTGCAAGGGCGGAGGCCGAAATGGAGAGAGCGAAAAATGCTGAAGAGCAAAGATTGGTCGCCGAGCAGCGGGCAAGCGCAAGCGATGAAGCGCACAAGTCAGCCCAAGAGGTGATTGCCAGGCTGGAAAACGAATTGGAAGAATTGAAGGCGGCAAAAGAAAAAGCCGACTCCGAGACTTCCAAGGCATACGAGGCCAGGCAAGACGCCGCCCTTGAAAGCTACGCGGAGGAAGCTTCTAAATTTGAAAACCGAGGATTCAAGCACGGCTGGCTCAAAGCCCTTGCTGCTGCAAATGTGACATTGACAATGCCAATTCCATATGAGCAAGTGGACATCGAGCCGCTGGAGTCTGACCCCGAGGACCCTGAGGATTAATTTAGGACGCCACACTGGTTGCTTTTGCCTAGGATTTTCAATGTATTTTCTTTTATTTTATTTTTACTCGGGGTGATCTTCATGTATAAAGTGATACACTGTCTGTATTCAATTTATCAATGAAATTTTCCCTTGTTTTGTTTTATTCTTGTACTTAGGCCCCGTTTGGGGACTTACTTTTTTAGCCAATTAGCTAAAAAGTTACTAAATTAGCCAAAAAGCCAACAACTCATACCAAAAAGTCAAAGATTCTCTTTTCTTTCTACTTTTTGCACATCTTTTCGTAATTAGCCAAAAAGTCATCCCAAACATACAAGTTTTTTTTACCTACCTTTTTAGCCAAATAGCCAAAAAGTTATTAAATTAGCCTGTTCCCAAACGAGGCCTTAATTTTCCCTTTTGTGTTATTCTATTAAAAAGATGGATGATTCAAAAGTTCGGAGATATTCATGATTCAGATTTAAGGAATCTACCCTTGCCTTAGATATGAACTGGACCACCGAATGAGTCCGATTTGTGAAATGGCTGAGGTACAATCTTTTCGACATAAATCTGCCCTTGCCTAGCCATTGCATGAGCTTCATAAGCCGAATAGGACTCGTTCATGGAATGGCTAGGGCATAAATCGATCGGCATTGGGTTTAAATACTTGGCCGATCGGATTAATAAATCTGCCATTGCCCTAGCCAGTGCATGAGCTTCATAAGCTGAATAGAACTCGTTCATGGAATGGCTAGGGCATAAATCGATCGGCATTGGGTTTAAATACTTTGCCGATCAGATTGATAA